TGCCACAGCAGCAGCAGCAGCAGCAGCCCCAGCCGCCGCACCAAAACGGGGGCGGACCAATCTACGTGGTCTCGCAGCCCGGCCACGGACACGGTCACATCCCAAGCTCGGCCAGCGCCAACAGCGTCGTCTACGCCAGCCAGCAGCAGATGGTCCAGCAGCAACAGCCGCCACAGGCGCCGGCAATGCCCGGACCTGGCTACGGTCCGCCCCAGGCACACCCACAACCGCCGCCGCAGCAGCAGCAACAGGCGGAGAATCCGTATGGCCAGGTGCCAATACCGCCGCCTATGAATCCGTCACAAAGTCAGACCCCTCTGAACCGCATGAGCAGCCAGGGCGGAGGTCAGCCCGCTGCTCCAGCCCCGCCTCCGCCGCCGCCCACCTTCGGTGGAGCTCCACCAGCGCCTCCACAGATGTTTAACGGAGCCCCGCCTCCGCCACAGCCGCCAGCTCCACCGGCGCCGCCAGCCATGGGCGGTCCACCAGCTCCGGGAGTCTCCGGTGGTCCGGGTGCCCCTCCTCCACCGCCACCGCCCCCGGGAATGGGCGGAGCGCTCAAAAAGGATGACCCCCAAGCAGATCTCATGGGCTCGCTGGCCTCCCAACTGCAGCAGTTCAAGCTCAAAAAGAATAAGGTAAGTAGAGGAGGACTCATCCGGCATTGTCAGACCCGATCCTAATTCGTTATATTTCCCTTATCCGTTCTCCGTTCATAGTCCACCACTTCCGCTCCGGAGAACAGTGGCAGCAGCACCTCGAGTGGAGGCAGCGGAAACTATGGCACAATCGGACGCAGCTCCAATGGCATGGCCTCCATGATGGACGAGATGGCCAAGACGCTGGCGCGGCGTCGTGCCCAGGCCGAGAAGAAGGAGGTGAGCGTCCTCAAGTGTTTTACTGGCGTTTCTTTGATGCTCAATTTTCGTTCGTTTCGATTTTAGCCCGATCCTGAACCCGAGGTGAAGCAGCGTCCGTGGGAAAAGTCCAACACGCTTCCCCACAAGCTGGGTGGCGGCGCCGGAAGCGGTTCTGGGACGAACGGTCCCAACGGCAGCTCTGGCGGAGCAGGCAGCAACACAACGAACAGCGGCGGGGAATCGCCGCGGCCAATGCGAAAGCGCTTCGGCAGTGCCAGCGAGGAGACCATTCTGAAGGTGAGAGATTGGATTTTTGTCTTGACAAGGATGTCTTCGTCATAGGATGCTAATTTTTGTTGTTTTCTGACAGGTGAACGGCGATGGCCTGTCCCTGGCACTGTCCAACGGCGACTTGGACACACTGAAGGCTGAAATAGTGCGCGAGATGCGCCTGGAGATCCAAAAGGTCAAGAATGAGATCATAGATGGTGGGTATTTAAGCCTTTTCAGATCTGCGAATGGTAACCACTAATACTTGTGTTTCTTGCAGCTATCAAATCGGAGTTTAATCGCAGATAGATCAACACATCAATAAATGCATTACCCAGACCACTCCGGATGGTCCAAACCAAAGGAGCAGCAGCAAGCGGAGCAGGAGAGTGAGAAGGAGCATGCTTCAATGTGGCATTTAAGACCTTACAATGCACTTGTGCACAATCGAGTGGGGTAAAGGCATGCAAAAATACGTACACGGAAAAGATACATACGAGTAGATATGTATAAAGCATATGCTTTAGGTTATATGTAGGGTTACATAAACACACACAAACGCAGAATAGGAGGAGGAACTTTAGTCAAAGTAATTATATTTTAGTGGAAACTGCTTACTGACCTTATGTTATGCCTACATCTATATTCAGCGATCCTAAGTATGTAATTAACTCTATTATTGTACATTAATTTGCATAAGTCTAAACCAATTTTAGTGTGAGAACAAGAATTATTTCGTTTATCCTCTACTCTCCTCTCCCCTCCCCTTCCAATCCCTCGCTCCCACTAGGCGGATTCCTTTTAGTTTGTCCTCTGTCCCCTTCCCTACCTACCAAATGTCTTTGAGCAACTTTTGTAATATATGCCACACTTATGTATACCGAATACACAATCGAATACCCCATATGCATGCGTACATATAGAAGGACACACTCTCATATATACATAACTTTATATAGTATATGGGAATACTCATTAACGAACCCCAAAAGAAATTAAGTATTACGATTCGAGGCGAGGCGAAACAACACAATTCCACATATGTCATCCATCTATCTATCGATCGATCTATCTCTCTATCTCTCATATTCCCAATCTTTGTCTCCCAATCTGCGGATAAACAAGAGAAGACTTTTCATGCATTTCCCATCCGGACAAACCGAAACCAATTTCCTAAGCACACGATCTCATACTAACGCAATTTAAGCAACATCAGAACAAGAACCAACCAGCAAGTCTTCAGCAAAAAACAGAAACATCAACAGTTCAAAGCGGAATTGAGTGCGGTGTTCAGGACTCTGACTCTCGAGCAACTTAGCGTTAGATATACAAGTAAACATGCATAGCCCCTGCAATCTAAGCTATCTATACGATCTATACAGCGAAATTAGAAAGCTAAATTAACAATTGACTGCTGCGTATTATACATAAATATAAATATATATGTATACCGATATATATATATATATATATATATATATACATCTATATAAAGAAAAGCCACTAAATATTGTACACTCCTCCCCAGATTTGGCGGTGGGCGAGCGCCTTCCCGCCCGATCCTGAACATATGAGTACCGATTTCAACTTCCATATACATACGACTAAGACTAAATAGTGAAATTATTGAATGAACGTAAATATCGATAATGCGGCTGACGACGAGGGGGTCTGGCCTGGCGATGAGGCAGAGGCGGAGGAGGAGCAGGAGAGTTTAGTTCTTAAGGCATACAAAAGTGAAATTGTTTATTAAGTGGAAAAGAAATTTATTTATACTGCGGATCGGATCAGATCCGATTGGATCGGAGTAGTTGTGTATAATTCGAATGCATATAAATATTTTAGTTTTCTGTAATTTAACACTCATTTTATGTAGTATATTGACTGTGCAAGGTGGCGTCGATATGCAGATGTATGAGCGTATAGATTATATGTAATACCTAGTTATAGGGCGGCCAGACGCGGTCAGTCCGAGGCGTATGTAAATGTTATGATTTTTGTATTTTTATATATGATCTTTGCTGGCAGCATTGCGGCAACAATGACAGGCAACAATTTAATATTAAAACACACGTAAACTATTTTAAACAAGAAGGGAGATCGCGGATCCCTGTGCGCGGAGCGAGCGCATACTTTTTATGTATTAAATTAAATATATATTATACACTTATATACAACAACAAGAATATTCAATATACATACGTGGCGATGCAGACGCGGATTAGGAAGAGACATTGAGCAAACATTGACTTGAGATCAAAATATATATAAAATAAATCAGCAACGGATTCATTTAGAACTGTAAGAGGGGCATAAGTTGTAGCGGCGGATGAGTCGGGGCTGAACGAATAGAGGCGCAAACATTATATGCATATTCAACAAAAAGAGCGAACAGTGAAATAAACATCCGACGTTTGTATATGAAAACCAATGAAAAATGTATGTTTTATTTCTCATTAGTCTTTAAACTTGGGCAGTGCACTGGCTAAAACAGATTCGTAACGCTCTGCTAAATAATTATGCTATTTTAAAAGAGTCGAACTGCCGGAGAATTACGTATATCGATAGTAGTTTAAAAACATCGAATGCAGCAATTTTTATGTATCGATATATCTCATCGCGAGGTCATGTATAAAACGCAAAAATGAGTTGGGAGAGAGCGTAAATTACTGGGCCATTTGCAATTTCTCGGTAATTACATGAATATGTAGTTAGGGTGCATAAAATTTATAGTTGCCGGCTAGTTCCGTGCTAAAACATTTTTGCTGGCCACTTTTTTAAAAGTTTTTTAAAAGCGCAAAAAAAGGGACTCATGTTCTTAAAACTAGCCACTCTCGTACGAAAATGATTCATTTGATGGATAAAATTATATGATTAGTGACCTCAGGCTCCAGCTGGTTGCAATCCTAAGGCGCATATAAAAATCTTGAAATATCAATCAATGTAATGAGGGAAGCGGTTCTGGCGCTGCTGTTATTTTTTGTCAACACGCAAGCTCTTGAGCGCTCTCTTGTGCTCGAAAGTGCGCCGCGACAATCAAGTGAATCCAAAATAAAAGCTTTTTGGATTTCGACGAGTAAAGGTTGGTGTTTTTTTGTTCCCAAAACGCGAGAAATAGCGGCGGCATATATTGTGGCGTACCTTTCCTGAAAACAAGAAAATACCGTTTGTTTCTACAAAAACAATACAAACGCTGTCAGGTCAAGTGTATTCGTGCGTGAGTGTGTATTTGTACCGTGGACAGCATTGGAAGTGGAAACTTGGCAATAGCCGAAAATATTTAAAAAGCGTTGCAATAATAAAATCAAATTTACATATAACTGTGCGCGCGTGTGTGAGTTTAACATGAAGCAATTGTTAGAATTAGTCGTCGCGCAAATAAATGTAAAAAGCAAACGGTATTAGAGCTGCAACAGCAATAACCACACAGCATCTTCATTGATGCTGCAAACAGCTGATCCGTTCTCAGTGCTGGTTTCGAGTGGTTGTTGTTGCTGATGTGAATGAGCATTCAAATGTTGGCCGAGTATGTGCTGGCTTGGCCCAAACTGGCTGCAATATGTGGCTAGTGGCCCAGTAACGTGGCATTGAAAATGAGATACATCTAAACAACTAAACTATTCATGTGCTGTGTCTCACTTTACGCTCGGGTGTGTGTGTTTGTCAGTGTAACGGCAAACAAGCAATACAAATGTAGCTCCCTCCAAACAATACGATTTCTTATCGCTAGACATTGAGAATTTGAATAGCAAGAGAATCGAGTTTCAATAAGCGGAAGCAACTCTACAAGTAGCATTGAACTTTATTTATGTTTTATGTCAGATGTGAAAAGCAGATCTGACAAAAGTTCCATTTGTGTCTCTCTTTTAGTTTATTTTACGCGCCTTTGTAAAATTTATCACGCCCTTGCTCGCCTCGCCTCGCCAAGCCTCCCCGACGCCCTTTACTCACCAGCATCCAAAGGATCAACGATAAAAGTGATAAGATCACAAAATCCAAGAAGATCTTTGGATCTGTCCCGCTTTGCTGTTACGCAAAGAGTGCCTTAAATAACAACGGAAGAAATTACTAAACGGCGTTATTACTAAACGAAAATAATCGTCTACGTTTTGATTGATTTTCCCTACCCCATTTATGAGAAATTGGCAGTGCAAAAGTTCTGGCTAGGAATACATCCTCCGCCTCCACCCCATCGACGGAGTGCTAACGTGGCCTTTGGTAGTAGCTGACTAGTGGTGGACCGTGTGAGTAGAGAGAGAGTGCACGATTTGTTTACCATGTGTTGCAAGCTTTTTCACTCCACTCTCCTCCCCTACTGATTTGCATTACACCCGTACCCGAACCCAACCCCCAAACTTATCTCATAACACAAGCAGAGAAATTTGTGGCCCAAAAGTTTATTTTATTGGAATTTATCGAAATTTTCGAATTGGAACCCTTCAGACATGTGGCACGTACTTTGGGTCATTCCACACTTACACACACATACACCTATTGCTTTACGTTACTAATCAATCACAGAGCATTTTCTATGCTGTTTTCCCCACCCATCACTTTCCCCGCGAGCACATAAGACAATTTTTGCTAAAAGACAAAATAGAAACGGTACAAAAATGTATAAATAACATAAACAAATGATGATAGAAGTCCTCCTCCGTGTTTCTCCTTAATAATGCAATCTTTTTTTACTTCCACAAAACATTTCAACGCACATCCTTCGGATAAACCAACAAAATCATCAAAACGTGTTGCGCCGTGCTGCATGGTGAGTTAACCAACCCCCTGTCCGTCTCATATTCTGGCTGTCCCACTATCCATCCCCTTTCAAGCTCGTACAGTGCCTATGTAAATGGGGAGTTCTCCCCAGCGGATGGGATGGGCTCTACATGGACTCGCTTGGGTGCGTTTGCTGTGGTAGGAAGATGTTCCAGCGATCGCCTACGCGTTAAGGAGGGTTTGGGAAGTGCGTGAGCAGCGTCTCCATCCCCCATTCATTCGTTTTAAAAGCAACCCCTCGATTTCGAAATTGTGTCAAAGGCTGTTGAAGCTGCTGACGCAGGGAAAACGGGCCAAACGAAAACTTTTATTGCTGCAGTTTTCCGGCCTCACCCTCAACCCACCAACCTCCACGACTTTTGCCGGTATCAAAAGCTCCGACTGTGAGGCAAAGCTTTCGGCAGAAAAGAGCAATGGAAATGGACCCATGAAATGTTGAAAACTCTTCCCGAGGTTTCTATGCTAGCAACGCTAGAGCGTTGCAAATCAATTCTAAATTCTGAACTGTTCACACGAAGCCTCAATTATTGATGGTTGGCCTAGCAACCCCGTCGGGCCGAGGGTCCTGGACTGGTCAAAACACTTAGCTTGGGTTCAAATACCTGTCGCAGTCCGACAGTAGGCACAGGCCGAGCAAATTGCTCAGCACATAAGCATGGCATTCATTTACCCAATAAATCCGGGACCCACAAAATCAATAGAGGATATTTGCTTGCAGTCCTGCTTAAGCCGTTCGCTCCACTTGTCCAATTTCCACACTCCAATCGATTCGTTCTCTGTAGCTTTGGCGAGCTTTAATCGATAATTGGTAATGTATGTTTGTATGTTTGTATGTGCATATATAGGAACGGAACGAGTTTCCACAGACAGAGGGCAAAGTCGAAAGGTTCTCCAGCTCTGACTTGTCTGAGAGTTGTGAAAAATATTCGTAGCTGCTGTTGTGTCTTCTGAACTTTGTCTTTTGCCTCGAACTCTGGATGTTGTATAAGCACGCAACTCTGTCTCCCGCCACCCCTTTTGGGTGGTCATCCGTATACATTAGGGAGTGGAGAGCTTGCGTGCAAATGTTGGCCCTGTAAAACTTTGACTCAGCTCAGCTCAGCCGTGCCCGCGTTCCCGCGTGCGTATGTATAATAATATTAGTAATAAATCCTCGTTGCCTGTTTGTCATTTTCCCGTCCTCAGCTGGCAGTCGGTGATGGAGCAGAGCATCCAAAAATAGAGTCAGCCTTGACTCGCTCGAGTGGCAAAGCAGTCAAAGGTCAACCGATATCGGGGAATCGAGCGAGCCAGAAAATGAAGTGCAATTTGGGTTATGACCGGCTTTGCATGGCAGCCCGATTAGATCTCTATCCCTTGCTTCCACCCGATGCATGGTGGGGCATGGCACTGTTCGAGAAGTAGAAAATCTTGCCCGTTGCCTTATCAATTTGAGTGGAATATGTACTGGCATTGTACACTCTGAATATTCGTTTCGGTGACATCATCGAGTGTTTGTTCCACGGTGTCGTAGTTTGGCATATTTTATTGACCCATTAATAGGTGAAAGAGACAGAGACAGAGGCAGAGACTGCTGCTGTCACTGCCATGTCCAACTCCCGAGATCCGTATCGTATCGACGAGCAGCACTTCACATTCATTAACAACAATTAAATGCGATAAACGGGTGAAGAAGGCGAGGAGGCGCCTTCCTCGATAAGATTAGACGGTCGGAGTCATGAAAGGTGGAACCCTGTCGGATGAGTCAAGTGGCAGACTAGACTATCCCTCCAGAGCAGCCGTAGACTTTCGAGGCTGTGGTTTGTATTCCGATTGCCGGCTTAGGATCGCTGTACCCAATCATCTCTATTTATATGCTCTTACGCACCTAGCTACGAAATGAATGCTCACTATTCAATATTCAATATTTATTCGCATTTTAATGTGATTAGCGATGTTTCGCATTCCAAATGTTTGCATTGCGAATACTTTGAAGGCCTCAGCCGCATTCCCCAAGAACTTTCACGATTGCGACACTCTAGAGGCAGGTGACTAAACTCGTTCAACTGCAGCTGCTTTCCCGAAGGGGGGCATTCAACCTGAACCCTCTGACCTTTCGAAGCCAGCAATTAAAACGGAATTTCTGGCAACCTGTTGCTGTTGCAAGCTCCGAGCGGTACGGCTTTGGCTCATTTAATCATTAAATACAAGAGAAACACTGGCTTCTGTGCTGCCCAAGAAGCAGTGTTTGCATGTTTGAGACTGGAAGTGGCAGTGCCAGCATTAATTAACTTGGACTAGAGGCTCTACTCTGGAAACAGGCCACACGGGAAATCATGTTGGCTGAGCTTCTTTCGAGCACTATCCTCTCTAGAGTGCGCGTTCCCAGGTGAGACTTGGACACTCTTTTCACATCCATGCCCGTTATAAGTTGGTACATCAGGTCGTGCATCGTAGACATTTACTGTCAATCGACAACAATGAACTTACGATGTGAACACATGTCAGACGGGACCCTGTGGCTGTGGGGCGGGTCAGACGGACGGCTCTTTGGCAACAGGCGCTTCCTCTGCCGCCCCGGTGCGTTTCATGGGTTAAAAATACACGAGAGAAGAGTACTTGTTGCTCTCGTAATCACCCTCTCGACGTCCCATTCAGACCATGGCGAGTGCCCCCGCCGAAGGGGTCAACAGACGCGCCAGTGGCTCGAGAGAATGCCCAAAAGTCAGCAGCGCAGAAAGACCAAGAAAACAAGAAGATTCTTCCGAGCCACAAGAGAGAGACGAAATGATTATAGATAGACAACTTTATAGAGAGAGACAGTGAGTGAAAGAGAGGCGAAGCGGGGGAGATGGAGGGAATGGATAGATAGAGACAGAATGATTTCTATTGATATAAAACAGATTATCGCATGCAAAGTGGCGTTTTGTTATGGTTTTCGCGGTTGAGCGACGGACAAATGGCCGAACTGTCACGCTCGGTATTTTTGTTCTTGGCAATGACAAGCTTTTCGTGAAAAGCAAAGTTACAACAAATGGGGAAAGCAATCTCACTGGGCATGAACAGAACAACGTTCGAATATTAACTGCAACAAGTGCCAAGGGTTGGGGGTGCAAAGCATTTTCTACATATTTTCTTTGGCCGTTTTGTTGAATGCAAATTCTCTCAAATGGTTTCTAATAAATCTGTGAATAGGGGTCGCATTTAGCAGTAAGACAGAGTGAGAGAAAGATAAGAAGAAAAATAAAGAGAGAGGGGAAAGCGAAAAATATAAAAGTACGGAAAGATCTAAAAATAAAGGCAGAACAAGCGCAGTACATATGTATGTATGTATATATATACATATGTACATAAATATGAATAAACAATCGGACAAAGACGTTAAAAGTGTTTCCCATTCCCCCAGCCAAACCTAGAGCCCAACCTCTGATTCCCTTACGTCACTTCTTCTCTGTCTCTTTTACTCTTTTGCCCTGTCTCCTCCTCTACTTTTCGGCGGTGTTTCGTTGCGATCTAAAAAACAATAGAGAACTATGACGTCAGCGGCAGCCCCATAATGGAATCGTTAAATTGTTGGAGTTGGGCACGTCCGCCGAGTCACGAACCAGCCGAAGAGGCACATGCAAAGGCAGGGACTGGGGCTCTTCTCCCATCTCTAGGGAGAGCTGCTGGCGTCGGCGCAGTATCCGCACTTTCACGGATACACAGAGAATGTTTCTCGCGCAAAAGAGCATATCCCATGTCTTCCCATAGCAAAGCATCCCATTCAGATAGACAGGGGCGACAGTTCAGTTTTGGTTCGGCTTCTGTTCGGTTCCGTTTCGCTTTCGAGTTCCTCCAAATCCCTTTTTGGGGCAGAGTTCCGTCTCAGCATATTTTAAAGTTGTAAGGCACAATCCGATCTAGGAGCTATCCATCAGTGATCCTCGTTTAGAGAGTGCCTACAGCTGGTTTCTTCTTCTACTCACCACTTTTGTGAGTGGCAATATATTTTTCATATTTTCATTTTCATGAAAATTGTTCGCCTTCTATAAATAGACACTCCCAACCATGGGGCTGTGGGGGAGGGGGGGGGAGGTTAGGGAAGGAGAGAGGCCTTTCATGGCATACAGACACCATCGCATCTCTCATCTGTTGCTCTCTCTCTCTCTCTCTGTGCCAGATACTGCGAGTACATCTATCTACGAGTATAGAGCATTATAATAACACTATTCCTCTGTATCTGATCTGTTACCACGGCAGAACACCGACTACGATAATGATGATGAACCATCGCCTGGACCTCGGCTGGAACTCGTCCGCCTGCTGCTAAACGATGGATCTAGCAGACCAAATCGATGACTATATTTGTTCGTTCGAGGGACTTGGTGATTTAACAATGGACTCCCTAGCCATCTTCATCTTTCTGTGGGCCGTGCTGGCCCTCTTCTCCGTCTGGCTGTGCAAGCTGCTCTACCACAAGTATCTCAACAAGGAAAAGCCCACCAGTGCCGCCAACAGTCGCCAGAGTAGCGTGGTCCCAGGAGCGGCCGCCGTCGTCAGCTCCTCCAAGCCGGAGAAGCGACTCTCCGAGCCGAGGGACATGCTGGCCACCAAGAGCAAAGTCGAGGATCTCTCCAAGCCTCTGACGGGCGGCTCGGCAGGTCGTGGTCGCTCTTCGGCCTCGCCCCTAAGCGGTGGTGCAGCTGGAGCCGCCGGTCCGCGTCGTCGAGTGGTGCGCCAGAGCTCCACGGGGCCGGAAAACCGCAAGAAGCGATATGTTCCGCCGCCCTCCAATGTGGTGGGGCCCGAAACGGTAAGCTACTTTGATATCTAAAAGGAGCGCTCTTTCCAATTGCTAATCTATAATCTGTGTCTTCTTAGAGCTCTGTCACTTGGACCAGCCAAGTTTTCCGCTGGCTGTACAGCGATCTAGTCATTGTCAACGAGCTGCTCATGTCCTGGGTGATAGCCATCAACGACTCGCTCCGCAAGTCTGTGGAGGAGGTGAGTGTCTGCCCACATTGCCTATTGCACATTGCCCAACCTTCAGAGTGGAAGAGCGAATAAATAAATGACATCAGCAGACGGTTCCCGGCTTTGACATCTTTCACGCCACCTTCCTGGGCTCTGATGTCATGGCCGAGTTCCAGCTTGGTCTCCAGCGTCCATTGACCTTTGTTCTTCAACTTGAAATCAGTGTTTTGGCCGTCTACTACCTTCCCCCCACTGTCCGCCCGTCTAGCCGCCTGAGACTCGCTCAGCCGTAACCGATGTCGAAACGTGTTTTTTTGTTGTTTTTGTTTTTGTTTTTCCTCTTGTGTTTTATCGCCTTTTACGCGTTCCCCCATCCCCGATTCGGAGCCAGCCGTAGGCCAAGGTCAGCGCGGAATCGTTAGTCACTCTCGACTGAGTCGCTGAATCGCGCCCCAAATACGTTCACTTCTGAGCCTCAAGCCCCAATCCCCGATCGGCGGGTTACGTAATGCAAATTCCCCAAACCAGATCACAGCAGGCACTAATTTGATTTCTCTCTGGATTTCGTTTGCAGCATGGAGTGGCCGTGGAAGTAGTGCGGGTACTGCCCGACAGCCCTGCTCCGGGGCTGAATAACATCTTCTGCAACTGCGATGAGAACAATCCTGCGGACATGGTAAGTAATCCTTTACCCCATCGTGAGATGTGACCCTGGACTGGACTAATTTGGAGTTTCTACACAGCTCATTACCTTCGACTGCGATGCCACGCCTGTGCTGCAGGTGAAGACCTTCCGGCAGAAGTCGGGCAAGGTAGAGACCTCCCACTATAAGGTGACCGTGTCGCGATTCCGTGCCCGCATGGCCATCCCCATGAACTACAACACCCTCAAGGGCGAGATGCGTGTGGAGGGCTACCCCGATGTGAGTGTGCTGTCTGTCAGTGTGTAAATGGGATGAATCGAAGGAAAACCTTTCCCCTTTCATTTCGTTACAGGTGCGCATTGCAATGAACAGCGTGGGGGCCATCAAGGCCATGGATCAGGACGAACAGCAGCTCCAGACCGTCATCAGCGACATCCTTACGACGGCCCTGCGTGACACCGTCTACCCAGTGGATTTTTCCATCTACTCCACCTGCCCGCGCGCCGAGGTGGAGCCCCTGGATTTGCCTGTAATCTATCCCGTTCACTATGACTCCCTGGCGGTGAGCGTTTGGGAGCAGTGCGGAGTGTGGCCTCTGTCTGTTTTAGTTTCTGTTTCTGTTTCGGTTCCTGTTCCGTTCTTGGGTTTGACTGTCTTTCCAGTTCGTCGTCACTCGTTGTCATTTCACACAGAACTCGAAACACAGGACTCTTTCCTGTACAGTGATCCCACTTTGTTCCTCCTTTGCTCCACAGACAAAAGACCACAGACAAACAGACACTTCTCATTGCTCCCTCTGTCTTCGCCTTTGTGTTATATTTCCATTTTTGTATATCTGCCATGTGTTGGACTCCTTTCGTTTATGGAATTCGCCTTCCTTCTCCCTCTCCACATCTCCCTCTTGTTGCCATTTGCGAATCCGTTTCCTACCAGTAAAGAATTCTCTCTTTTGCGCTCTCTCTCTTTTCAGGGGAATCAATACTTTCAATATTATTACAATTTTTAGTGAATGTCACACGAGTTGCTAATTAAAGGCGAATTTCATGAGCCCTAACCCAATCTCAGTGTTCTCTCTGTCTCTGAGCCCCCTTCTCTACCCACCCTTATATTTTTCTCCCTTTCTCTCTGTCTCTGTCTCTCACGCACTGACTCATTGCATGCTCTGCCTCCTCCACACACAGCACAACATGGAGCACCACCTGGGAGGTGTGGGCCTGCGGGACTCGCAGCACATGGTATCCGGCCGGCGGCTGCTGGTGAAAATCGTCAAGGGTGAGGGTCTGAGGGACGCCCACGACCCATATGTGGTAATCGAGATGGACGAGCCGGCCCAGAAGAACCAGACAGGCACCCAACGCGGCAGCAGACCTTACTGGGATGAGCACTTCCTCTTGTGAGACCTTGCTAAACCTTCTGCTGCTGATCCCTTAACTCATTTTCCTTTCTTTACAGTGAACTCTCCCCCCAGTCTGCAGAGATACTCTTCGAGGTGTATGACCATCCAGTGATCGCCTCGGATCCCCCCAAATTCCTCGGTCTCGGCCTGGTGGGTATCGATGAGCTGGCCGTGGGTCCGGCATCCACCCAGCTACTGCAGCTTCAGCCACGTCCCTACGAGACCCAGCCCGTGGCAGGGGCCATCACCGTGGACTTTGTCTTTATCGAGGGAGCCGAGATACCGGCGGGCGCCCGTCCACAGCGGCTCAAGGAGGCCCTGCGCCTCAGCACGCCGGCCATCAACGAACACATCCGCAACGGAGCCGACCTGGCTGACGCTGCGGTACGTGCTCTACAGGACGGCGCCCTCTCCGCCACCGGAAGCGGAGGCCAGCCTAGCAAGAGCACCCTCATCATCCACAGCGTTCAGCGGGTGAGTGAAATGCTGATACTCCTCCGTCAGCACTATGTCCATCATCTCCCGACTCCCACTGTCACTTTGGTTCTATAATTTCGTTCTTTCTTCGTTTCTTTCATTCCATTCCCGAACCCGCACAGAACTCGAGCAATCCGAATGCATTTAAGGTAATTTCAGCCGGATCAGCGACTCAGCCTCGGTCATCCGTTTCTTTTTGAGTTTCATTGAGTTACTGCGTCTCTAACCTCCCCCACATCCGCCCCCTCATGATGAGCATCGTCATGCAGGATCCGGATCTAGTAAAGCTAATCTCAACTGTTTCTTGTTCTGTTCCATTGCTCGTTCTTGCCTAACCCCCGCGCTTCTCTAACCATGCCCACGGCAACGCCCCCCCAACCAGGTCGAGGTTAACAAGGATGGCCGAATCGAAGTCATAGAATCACCCACAGAGCTGGACCAGGCCGTGGCCCAGGCGTTCGAGCGGGCCGCCAGCGAAGCAGCAGCTGCCAAGGCCGATCAGCTCCAGCTGGAGCTCGAGTTGGACCCCGAAACGGAGGTCCGGCCGCTGGCGAGCGGCGGTAACAGTGAGCCGCTCAACGAAACAGGTAACGGTAATGGTACCGCCAACGAGGACAGCACCACGGAGGTGAGTTCAAGAGTTCGCAATAGAGTTGCAAGAGTTCCATGGCATGGCATGAAGTTTGCAGTTTCCCCCGCACCCCGCACCCTGCACCCTGCAACTGAGTCCTCTGCTAATCTCTGTGAGTGTTTTTTCAGTTCGGGCAGCCGAATGCAGCCTCCTCGCCCAACGGCAGCGGTTACCATAACAACTACAACCTGAACGGGAGCAGTGGACTGGCCGGGAACGGCAACGGCAGCTCCAACCTAAATGGTGGGGGCTACAGCTCGAACAGCCTGCCTAGAAACGGGGCCCATTTGGGGCTGCAGACGGGCGAGGGCATGGACGTGCTGGACGACCGCGGGCGCAGCAAAAAACGTAATTTCTTTGGCACCCTGAAGAAGCGGCTCAGCCGCTCCAAGACACGCACCCTCTCGGCAGATCAGCCCAATAGCAATCACAAATCACTATCAGCCACCAACTCGAACTACGCCAATACTACAACAACATCGACAGGACTACCCCGAACCGCCACCGGAACCCTCAATGGTGATTCTTCCCGTTCATTATCTGTCGATCGTGCCACTCTGTCTAAAAGCAATTCACTTGGTAATTACCCAATCGTCCACCCAGTCCCCCTGCGCCAGCATCTCAGTCCATGTTCTAATCGGCCATGCCTCAACCACCCTCCCCCCACGAGCTTATTTCGCACATTTCGGACTGCATTGAATTACATTGCATACGTAACAATTGGATCGGATCAAGGGTTGAGATAGCCACGACCAGGACATCCATCTCATTTGACATTAGATCTTGTCCCCCGTGAATTTCCCAACTGTTGATGGTTCTTTCATGTACATACATACATATGGATATCTATCTATGCACTTATGTAACCTAATGTTTAATATAATCTTTCTATCTACCCGTTGGGATATCCATCCATATACTCACTTGCCATTATGCTAATGTCATCATTGATCGTTCACGTGTACCTGTATCTGTAAAGTTAATTGTTCTGTATCTGTATAACTTTTTTGTCTTGTCTGCTCTCTCTTCGTCTCTATACACTTTCTCCCTATCAACTGCTAACCGAACTGTGCCCCAACACCTGTATGTATGTATTCTACGATCACCCACCGTAACTACACTACACTAAACACACACACACACAAACACCTATGAATATTTCGAAACTTTTCGCAAAACATTTGGCTTTAATTTGGATTCGGATATTTACCTTTTTGGATCTGCTTCCCTTGGTTCGCATTAATGGTCATATTTATATTTATTTCTCACACTATCTTTTCATATCTTTTTTTTCTCTTTATTTTCATATGCAAAATATTTAATTTGGTGTAATCTGGCGCTTGGTTGTGTGTCACCCTCCAATCTCCAATATCTGCTCTCCACTATGGGACATGCTATTCGAACACACTATTTAAATAAACACTAAATTACGCAGGACCCCGAATGGGCATTGGCTCAGCCATCACAGACCACTCACGACGCTCTTCAATTTCAGAATCCTCGGCCATCTCAGGTTTCTCCTCGGCCAGCAACAAGACCTACGTTCACGAGGCCTCCACACTGGTCCTGGAGACCATCGAGAACGGCGTGAAGCGGTTAGTCAAGAACAGAATCCTGATCATCCCGTGATTCTCATGCTTTACCTTTGTTTCAGCCACTTTATTGTGCCTTTGGCCATTGCCCAGCGACCGCGCTGGCGCCGCAAGGGTACCAAGCTGCACATCTACAACGATCACACCTTCATTGCCAAGCATTTGAGCGGGTAAGTTCTCACCTCGAACTTTTAGCCACAATCCTACAATCCCCTTATTATGACCTTACAGAAGCGGCTTGCAGTGCTCGATCTGCATGAAGTCCATACCTCGGAGGCCAGGCAAGCAGGGATACGAATGTCGCGACTGCCAGCTGATCTGTCACAAGCAGTGTCACGTACGGGCGCCACAGGCCTGTCCCAACCCCACGGTGCTCTCCATGGAACTGTAAGTGGCCGGGATCGATACCCTCGGGCTTGGTTGCGCCTTCTCCTTCCCTTGTTAAACCCTATTTTGGGGACTGGCCCCATACTAATTTATTGATTTCGTTTTATTTTTTCTCTTTCCATACACACAAAACACACACAAAACACACACCAACACATACCCTTTAAACCTATTAGAAGCTCCTACCCGGTACTCACAGAGAGAGATCTGAACCTAGTTATCTAAAGCATTATCTGTTTACCAAATCAATATAAATACTCGTAATTTTTCTTTTTTAAACTCCGCCAAATGCAGTTAAATATTTACCACCAGCAATTTGCAAATAATTCAATTATTTTGATCTTTGAATTCGCGTCGGAAGAGCGTTTAGAGCTCTGATTAAATTTGGCTTGAATTATGTACAATATTGCTTCGGCTTCTACTGACTGCTTGCTAACCATCCACTACGATCATCTGATCACCTCCATTCATCCATCAAGCTTGGCCACGCCATAAATGCAATTGAATTCAGTTCCGTTGTCTTCTGTCTCGACATTAATCCGAGCTCTTCTTTCATCGCACCACTCGATCACCACACAACCATCTCGCTCCACCACACGGACACAGGATGGACATTGAGCAGTAGGCTTAGCTGCAGCACAATCAACAAACAAAACACAATACAATAATTATTTTGAGGGCGGCAGCGGTCGATACGTAAGAACTCAATCAATTATCCTTCTGAAACTCCTCCTTCGATTCTTCGAAACTGCCTCAGTTCTAGATACGTTGAGTTATTGGACGTGTGAGAACTATCCACTCTTTAGGCGGGTAAGCCATCTGCATGGAAGTTCCTTGTTCTGCTCTACCAAACCACTGTGTTGTGTACTAAATTAACAGCTCCATTCCATTTTTTATTTAGTTTTATTGAATTTTCTTGCCTCTTCAGACCCAACTAATCTGATATTACTTGTTTTTCTTCACAGAACAAAACTTAACTCGGCTGCGGCAGATCGGAGTATACGGAAACTGTAAAGGATCATCCTCATTCATCATCCTTCCCTGCCCCGAGGACACTTAATCGAATTACTATGCTTAGAAGGAGGAACAGCAGGACACTTCGGCTATCGAAATCTTTGATAAATTATGTTATTTATTTATATACACACACACACACCCATGTGCAATAAGTTCTTTGGTTTCGTTTTTTACCTTTCTCTGTGTCAACAAGTAGACCCCTTTGATATTTTGTATTTTCTATAAACACGAATAATAATTGTACAAAATAAGAGCGAACTAAGAATTGTTCAATTGAAATTACTGGTAAAAGCCTAACGTTATCGGATTCGGTACAAGTTCGCGCCAAAGTCTTAAAATCGCTTTGAAAAATCAGAACATCAAGAAAGTGAAGACTGTGTTGTTTCTTTATAAATTGCGACTGTCTTATCGCACGAAAATATCGAGTTCAATTTATACCGGTGATACAGGCCTTCAGGCCATCTTCTAACGACTTCAGGAAAAATGTATTCGATCTGTCGTGATCTTAGAAAACTTAGTACCACACCATAAATTGTTGGCAGCATAAATTCGTATGGGCCAGCAACAAACTGGAAATAGGGTATACATAGAACGGTTGACAAGCAACAAGTAGTCGAATGACGTAGCCCCCCGTACTTACCGTACGGTACATTTGGAAGTGTGAAATTATACTAATTTTGGTATATTTCTATGGATATATTTGCTCATATTTGAAACGCAAATATGAGAGCAAGAGAGTAAATTTCTGATTGGTTGAAAGTTGAAATGGCGTAAAAAGTCGTAATGTATTTAAAGTATTTATTTTCGATATCGATATCTCGCGGGTTAATAAAAATTAGAAGAAATTATTAATCAGAAAGTTAGATACTTATGTTAGTCCTAGCCTCTGGTGTCCGTCAAGCTCACGAACATGCCCAGCACCCAGCTGAATAGTTGGATGGCTGCCAACCTGTGCGACAGAATTTAATATGTTAAAGTTAAATTGCCATTTTTCTCTTCAATTTCATGTGTCTCTAATCAGTTTAATCTTTAATCGACATTCTATCCTTTAATAATTCAGTTAAATATTTTTGGTGACTCTGTAATAAATATGTATTTGGTATGTACCAAATGTGGAGTATTCACGTAGTTACCATGTTAGATAAAAGGACACTGTTTTGTACGGTACGCAATAAGAGTTATTATAATAAGCTTGATTTCAAAGTATTGATTCAGTAATCGGGTAAAATTTTAATTTAAGAATTTAGAGTCACAATCACCTGGTAATATTAAGCGGAATATCTAAATCAAGGAAAATGTTATATTGGCAACGGTGTTTTTCGGTACATTTTCAGTATATTTTAGTGTATTTCTGAGGGTCAGACGGGTAGATTTCTCCTTTAAATCCGGTCACACAAAAGTCTACGAATTAAAAACAACAACATTTTGGCTGCGCGGAGCATGTGAAATTTTTCGTTCGTGAAATTATTATAAACTAATAAATTGGCAAAATTCTCCGTGAGCCAAGAAAATTAAAAGTAAGCTCGGGAGCAGACACGTGTTTGCGTCGGTGCGTTTCTCATAAATTTACAAACAGCAGCTAGAACAACAACCACAACAACACAGTCGTCAGGCGACAAAGCGACACGCCTCGCCTTCGTCGACGAAGCAGTGTGTCGCGACGCCCTTGTTTTTGTTGTCGCGTGTGTCGTCGCTATTCTGTCTGTGCATATTCCCAATTGGGGAATCTATGCCATGACTGTGGTCGAGCGCTATGTTCAATAAACAATAGCCGATTAAAGTGCATACGGAAGAGAAAAACAAGACAGTCTTTTTGTTCTGTTACCCCGCAAAGCACAAAGCTTGTGCCCCCCACCCCCCCCCGCCAAAACACGCTTTCTCTTGTCCATTGCCAAACGCTGCAATGCGTTTATCATTCTTCGCAAGGTATTTCAAGTACAAGGTGGAAGCAGGCATAGCTTTGGGAGGCCGCACTGTACATCTGCCATACCCTCCATTTAGCATTGCCGCTGCTGTTGTTGGAGTTGTTCGTGCTGTTTGATTTGTTTTTTGTTTCCACAATTTTCTGCGTCATAATATTGCAAATGTCTGCGTTGCCGTTGCCGTTCCCCGTATCCGATCCCGTTCTTGTCTAATTTCCTATTTGCTAATTGTTTCAGTTGGGCTAATTTCGATCCAGACAAAGAAGTCCAGTTAACGTTACGCAATTGAAAGTCTGTGTGTGCAGCACGCGTGTATTTGTGTGTGACTAATGTGTGTGTAATCCGCCCGCCTGCCCTTTTCAGCAGTCGGACAAAATGCATTGTGATCTTTATCGATGGGCGACCACAAATCACCAGTAAAATAAAACCAAAGAAAATCTGTCGATAGTGAGAGAACGAAAGCAGAGAACGCAAAGAAGAGCCAAAAAGAGAGCATCAGCTGGTAGGATTCGACCTCGAATTCGGACTCCGATCGGGGACTCGACTCGGTCTCAAAATGGCCGCCGCGCACAGCCACCACAACGCCAACCTCCTTAGCTCGGACATCTCGCGGCGCAATCCGCAGGACGAATACGAGCTCATTCAGAAGATTGGCTCCGGCACCTACGGCGACGTATACAAGGTGAGTGATGCAGTGAGGAAGGTGATGGGTGATAGCTCAGACACTGGCGTAGGGGTAGGGTACGACTCTTACGCCATGTTGCACACAGACGGCTGTCCTGCGGCAGAATAAGAGCCACTTTGCGAAGCTGGCCTGCGCTCACCATCTATCCCGGGAATGTTACGCACACAAAAAACAAACCGAATGAGAAGCGTGCCTCGATTTAGAATGCTTTTTCTCCTTTCCCATCTGCGGCTTTTGTTTTTCTTTGCATTCCTGCTGCCAGCTTGGGTGCATGTGCAGCCCCATACACAGTACCAGCCCCAGTGGCATCGTCAGCCCCCATAACTCCCACTTGGCACACTCATTTGTACATCTGTTTGCCACCGCATGCTCCACGCTCCTCGGCACCCCTCCGGCTTCCCAAGTTATTCCTGCACAAAATATGCGCAATTGTAGTTCTGCGTTTCTTTTTTTTCCGCCATTGCCGCCTCCTTGCGTATGCCTGCTTTCATGTTTCACCTCGCTGCCCGTTGCTGGTGGAAATATGACAAATGCTCTCTGCCCCAGAAACTGCCCTTGTACCTTGTACCTTGGACTGTACTGTAGGACGCAAGGCGTGGCATAATGCATTTGCGCTGTTAGGGGCGGTCCTACAGCTCCAAAGAGCAGACATTACTGATCCACAGTGGTGCAAGCTGGAGACTTATATTTGCAATGTGGAATCCCGTGGGATATCATCACCCCCATTTTCTTTGCCATAAGTCCTTCAGATGACTACATTCGATTGCATTCCACTCTACTTATCGGCCATCGGTTATGGGTCACCCCTCAGTCTGGGGCCGTCGTTTACGCAGCCACGCGCTTGCATTGAATATGGGGATTTAAATCGTGACTGTCTTATTTATGTTTATCCACCCCTCCCCGTCTTCTCTCACTCTAGATTGTCTCTCTCGCGTTCTTTTGGATGAGGAGGATGAGTCATCCGCAAAGTCGGCGGCGCATGCTTCAACTTGGTTTCGATTTCAGTTTCGAATTCAGTTTCAATTCCAATTTCCCCTTTTCTGTTCTTCGTTCCCCTGTCTTTTGTTTTTCTTTTGCGGACTTTCGTTGCCAGGGGAATGTGTGAACACACATAGTACATACAATTGCCACACTCTCGCACAGTCAACACATCATCAGAACATTCCGCTGGCAATTCTCATTTCATCTCATTCCTGCACACTGTTTACAAATCTCTCCTCTCTCATTCTTTGTTTACACAAAGTTTTGGCATGGAACACACTCTAGCTCAAATAGTGTACAGATCTGTACGTATCCATAATTGTACGGACAGGCCATGTACACATGCACGTACATACATATGTATGTGTATACGAGTAGAGTGTGATAGGGAATGGGAAACGCAATTGAAGTGCTTGGTCAATCGAAAAGCGTTCTCCCGTTTGTGCTCTCTTTTGCTGCAGCTATTTTCACGATATTAATTTACAATGGAAATATGTAATAATAATAGTAGCAACAATAACACCAAAGTTGACAGGCTATTATCAGATATGGAAGGAGTCGGGTAGGCAGTGCAGTCATTTGGTTTCCTGTGTTCCAATTGCTCTTTTGCCTCATTTCTCATCGATTTATTCCAAATAGTCGCACAAATACATACATATGTACATATGTACAGTGCTCCAGTGCTTCAAAAAAAGTAAAAGCTAGAGTGAGCAACTAAATTGCACCTGACAAGGTGGTGTGGCTAAGTGGGTGGTTGGGCAGAGGTGCTACAACAAGGTTTTCATTACCGGAAATTCGAGTGCGAGACGACGCAGAGGGAAAAGTCCAATAAGTGGACTCTGCTCTAAGGAAAGCGTAAAAAATGAAAAGTGCCCGGTTTCAGTTATGCAATGGAAAGTAGTACAAATACAAATACATATGTACATACTTTATGCGTACCACAAGAGCGTGGGAGGGTGTTTGTGTGTGTGTGTGATTACCGTCGCCCGTCACTTGACTTCGCTACACAATATGACCATTGTTGTTGTGGCTGCTGGCACACTCTAACAATCATCCTCGTCATTGTCGTTGTTTCTTTCTGGTTTCGTACCCTTTCAGAGGGTACTACGAGAATAATGAACTTTTTGTATCGGACTCATAATGCACGTAGTAAGATCTGTGAAGGAGCTGTAGCGGAATGTTTGTTTTTCATAGATCAGTCAAAGCCTCAACTCGGACGATTATGGTTAATACATATCGAGACCATAGAAACAATCTTCCTGCAACGAGGGTATCCACAAGCTTTTGTCCAACAAGAAGAGCCTTTCTTTCTTGTTTTTATTTTGTTTGTTTTTCTTCGTGCAACACGCATGAAGACATGAAAAAAGTGGCGCACAGCTCTCGACACGGTTGAAGAGGGGGTGAGCGAAAACGACCCATCTCTACAGAACGAGACTTAAATATGTGCATAGGTGAAGGGACAAGGGGACGGAAGGCTACAGAAAATTACTAGAGAAAAGAACGAAGTGAAGTGAATTTGAAGCAACGCCATGAAGTGGCCAAGTGAGGGGTTGTTGGGCAGTGGCAGGAGGGAGTGAAGGAGGTCACGTAGCAGACGCTGCGTCTGTATCTATGTACATACATATGTGTATGCTTATGTATCTGTGTTTTTTTTTTTGCTGTGGAATTGC